TGAGTACTTTTTGAGTACTCTCTAGGTGAGTACTTTCACTGGGGATGACTTTATCAGACTCTACAGTCTGAAATATTCCTACAAACAATTTCAAGCTGTTAAATTTTCTATATTTGATGCTTACTGGATGGATATCTAGTAAAAATATTATGTTATAGAACTGATAAATTGATAATATACCATTGAAAATAATTTCTATCATCATGTATTGATTGATAAAGATAATAATTGTTAGGATGATTTTTAATAAATAATTCGTATGAATCAATATAATTTTCTAAACGAATTAATTCATTATGATGAACTAGCTGATCATCATTCTCAATATATGATTTCCTATACTTGATTTTGATGAAAATAAATCAGCTAATTTTCATTTAGTTACTGAAGAAATAAACGATAATTTTCATATGATGAAAATGATAAATAAAGTATATTTGTTTTACAATTATGTGGTACAACAGATTTATTAACTATATACATACAAAAAAATCGACCATTATATGTAACTTGTAATGTTGAAAATCAATTTCAGATTTTGTTTCGATTGACTATTTATCAAAAACACCTAACATTATTTTCTGGTAACCATTATTAATTACTCCATTTATTGAGAAAGAAAAACAAAGTTGTTCTCATGCAAATAGAGTAAATTCAAATTCGTCTGGTGTTGTCTCTTTGTTTTTCGATGAATTAGTTAATAATTACTTACGGCGTGGGTGGGTGTGGGTGTGGTTGTGATTGATTAATAGAATCCTATTAACACCCACACCCAAAAGAATATTGTCGAAGTATGAAATAAATGTTATGTGATTAGTTAAAAATCGTAATATTCGTAACAGTTCTACACTTCATTTACTCTATTCTTCGACTTTCTACTGCTCTTCCTGCGAAATTATATCTTGAACAATATGCAGCATGGAACTGTATTTTAGGTTAAGAAAAAAAACGCCCCGAACAAAGTTTTTCTATCATTTTAGACATTTCTGATAATCGAACTATTTTTGCTAACCAAAAGCTTGAACTAAATTCTATTACTATATCAAATAGTAGGATTGATGATCATAGTACTTTTCTCCATCTCTAATTGTTTTTTGAACTTTGTTCAAGTGCTATCCTCAAGTATAAGATATATCAGAGACATTTACGAAATATATAAGTCAGCGTCAATGTTTTTCATGTTCAAAAATCCTTTTAGATAAAAATTGCCATTTAACAAACATCCTGCTGTGCTTTTTCTTTTTCCTTGAGTCGGTCTTTATTGGAATATAATCTTACAATATACAAGAGCATTCATTTAACCATTCATGCATCAAAAAAACATTTTCTGACTTTTGTTGAATATTTACATTTCAGGTTCAATCCTACAAAATACAATAAAATAACCAAGTGAAGGTCATCAACACTAGGCATCAATATTCAATTCTCAATAAGCTGCCTCATACCACCCAAGAATATTTTATAGGCTTTATATACAAAAATTATATTCATCTTTTAATTCAAAATTCTTATCCTTTACGAAAACCGTTCTTCATATTTTCTATTTGACTCATCATGTTATGTTGGATGATTCTTGCATTGCTGCTGACCACTTGACAATTTTTATATGAATCATTTTAAAATATTATTACTGTAGTACCGTGGTAACTTATGGTACCCTCACTCTATTTTACAAAAAAGTCAACAAGTTTCAGATTTGCATCGTATCCATACCACATACGCTCCTCCACGTAACAATCACAACAATGGTCCTTCTACTATGGAAACAGAAAAAGAATTTTTTCTTTTAGCCGGGGATGCCATAGTGGTTCTATGCAACTGATTGTTAGTCAGACTTCAGGAGGTTCAATCCCTTCCTTTAGCATGGTGTCTTTGGAGTCAAGATATATGGTATCGGAAGAATAGTAATGCATGTTAACGTCATCATCACTGCCTCGATTTCGATTTTCGTTCTATTCGTTTTCTTCTCCTTGTCATTCTTTCTCTGTTTGTTATCGTTATCTTGTCTGTTGACTGCTATGTTCGTAAGCGTCTGCAAAAATTATACAAAATGCATACAAAATATATGGATGTCACGAATAAAATTCAGTATAATTAAAAGTGACTTTTTTTTCTTTTTAGAATTAAACATAATCAACTGCAATGTTGACAATTTTGAAAATGTCAATGTGATTTCTGGAGAAATCTATTAAATTGTCGGTAATACTCGAGCATATTCTACGTTAAGATCAAGCTTGATGAACTGTCGTTGATAAGCTGGTCGAGGTCCTTGTTCGCCTTCACCGCGAGCATTGGCAACATACAATACATTATCTGTGAGATCGTACACGGCCACTTGAACATCGCCAGTTTTGACCACTGCAGGTATATTTTGAATAGTCGTTTCAGGTGTGATCTGACCGTACTCAGCTCTAATCTGTTCATAGAGTTTAGATTGAAACGCTGGACATGTCCAATCCATACCTTCATAGACAACATTGTCAATACGTGGATGCCAATCAGTTAATGGTTGTAAATTAATATCGTCGAAGAAATGAACAAGTGAATGTGAATATTGAATGATGCGACCTGTGCCCAATTTGCCATCACTAATACCCAAAATCAAGTGACATGTTCGACGAATATTGGTTATGTATGAAAGAGCATCATCGAGCGTCTCAGAATATTGCATAAGGTATCGTTGTAGAAAAATAAAAGGTATACCCATCATGCTTTCATCACCGAACGTATCATCAGGACGGCGGATACCGATTGATCCTATGCCCATCATTGTTGAAGACATACCAGTCAGCACGCCAATGTAGCCTGAAGGAAAAACTATGAATTTTTTTGATATAGCCAAGATGATAAAGTTACCTGCCCACGCAACATTGGTAAAAGTATGGCCAAGTGTCGGCGTGCGAGGGTGATAGACAGTAATTACAGGATAGTCTTGAAGACCAGCATTGATGTCCCAATCAAAGGTACGCATTTGAAGAGTCTTGCCATTGAGTGTTGCTTTGCCCCAGAGGCCATACAAGGAACAGTGACCTATGTATATTTCTATTCAATAGCAGAAAAGGCCTTAACTAACATATTACCTCGAGTCAATTCACCAAACATATGCAAACGTAGTAAAAGATCGTAATCAATTTTCGTAGCATCAGCTATACCATGAAGCTCACGATAAATTTCTGGGTCGACATATACTTGGGCCAGTGAATTTTGCATATCCAAAGCAAATGCAAGACCTTCATCAGCAATTAACTGTTTTACCCACTTCGGTAATTTAAGAGATTCCAGGTGATCTATTATATCTTTCTCTAGGTAGGCATAGGCTTTCGGAAAAAATTGAATAATTTGTTCACTCAATAATGTTCCGTAGGCAAATCCATACTCATATCCATTCATGCCCCAGACATGAACAAGCCATGATTGATCTTCATCGACACCAACTTGATAGAGTAATCCATTAGGCACGGTACGAATAAGTCGCGGTGGACCATCGGCGATTGGTAACATATTTGGATCACCCCGCGATGTATCATTTACGCAAAAGCTATCCATGTTCTTGAACGAAAAACTACTACGCACAAACGATGGCTGAATGGCAAAGAGTAGTAGACCAAAACAAATACAACAACTGTAGAAATAGCATCGCCGCATGACGCAATTGAATTTTTGAAAGTCGTCTATGAATGTAAGAAATGCGCAATGTAGCTAAATATAGATTTCAATAAAGCATTTAACTTATCAGAGATTGATGACTCTCAGTGTCACGATTTTTGGATAGAAGAATAGCTAGCGCTGATGGAATTACGCTTTATTATATTTCTTCATATCACGAATCGCATCATTTACATACAAAGCACCCGTTTATATACTCAGCCAGAAGAGAGAGGAAATAGAAAGTACAAATAGAATAAAAAGAGACATAGCTAATAGAAATGAAAATAATCAGAAAAAATGAATATGATGATGTCGTCACATTCAAGATTTACTTAATTTGAATTTTATCTCTAACTCTTCATTTCAAAAATATTTGCTAGTATCAACGTCGCCAATATAATTGAAGTCGGTACATGCGAAAGCGACTTTCTTTCAAAACTAACTACTTTCGTTATCTTAATCCATTATTGTCTTCAAATATCACTGTTGACAAAAGAAAACCTATACTCCTATTTAATCAAATCTCAAGAATTGTATGCACTGATTCTCTTAAACCAATGTATCTGTCTTTTAAAGTTCAAAACCCATGAGTAGATGATGAAAATAAATATCAAAGTTTCGACACCATTGAGCATATTATGATCAAAAACTCTATTTTAAATGAAACTTCATGTCTATAATCGACATATACATGTACCAAATCTGAGCACAACTTCGCGTATCGATACCGATTTCTACAAGATAGAGCTTAAACTGTAATGTTTGAGCCCGAATCGAGTTTGACCAAGCCCAGGAATCATCAATAAATGAATAGTCAATTTTTCATGAAAAAACGACATTGTGATGCAAAATACCTTCGCTAATGTTTTTTTTTGATTAGTGCCCTATTGAAAACTTATATTTTTTGTCGTTTATTCATGAAAAGCATGGCTCTTCATATATTGATTACTAGCTTGATGAAATTCAAACTTGACCTAAGTTCGACATGATCGAGTTCGAACAGTTTGGGCTTCATCCACGTCTATAAAAGACCCACGAGTTTTATATCTACCATTCTAGTTAAGTCTCTAAACTAGTACCGCTAAGTTAGCTTCTTCTTTCATAACTTTCTAAAAGATAAGTTTATGAAGAAATATTGTTTTTTTATATTGCCTATTCTCCAATTAGTGATTTCACAAAATTTATCTTAATATGCCTCACACTCCTATTTAGCAATACACGAGTTATTTTGACAATTTATAGACAACTAAAGGGAGAATATTCTGAAGAACTACTTATCTCAGTCCAATGCATGAAAAAAAAAGATTGAAAACAGCGAAAGCATAATTATTTATGAAATACTTTTTATTTGAAACTTATTAACATTTTTGGCTAGTAATTAAGTCTTCGAATAAAATTTCCATGATGATTTTTTATATGTAGATCGATAGAATGAAAACAGAGTCTTTAGTGGAAATCATTTTCAACATCAATATTCATTTTTCGATTCATCAAGATATACTTTGAAGAGTTTCAGCTCAATCTGATCTCGCTTACCTCGTGTTGACAGTAAAGAGCCTTTAAAATGTGATTCAATATCAACTTTTTCTTAAATAGCACAAAATAAAAGATAACGTTATCTCTTATATGTTGCAAATGCAAACCTACACTTTAAAAACTCTTAAATTTATTTAGTAAGAGAAGAATCTTAAAGGTAAGACAAAAGTCTTAGTACTTCACAGAGAAATCCAAGAGAATAAGTGCTGTACTATTGCACCAAATTATACTGCATAGGCACTGAGATGGCACTGAGGTGCTGGGGGTTCCAAACCTGCACTTTCCCCCTTGCAGTTTCATTACACAATCAAAGTTTATCGTATCCCGGATAGACAAAATCTGCTTTTCCCACTGTTAGCGTCAGTAATGGATCACACTAACACTAACGTTAAACGATGAAAAAGATGACCTTCGTGGGAATCGAACCCACACCTCCTGCTCTCCGAGCAGTTGTCCTAAGCCAATTAGACTAGAAGGCGCATCTTAATCATCGTTTAGCGTTAGTGTGATCCATCACTGTCGCTAACAGTTCGAAAAGCATTCACCCCTAAACTACCATCCTTCCTCAAATCAAATGAGCTTCACACAAATTCTATCACGCTACAAATTAACAAAAAACAGCTAATACTTCTACCACAATAACACAACTGGAAATATAACAAAGAAACTAGCCTCTGACGATTTTTCTGAGTCCATAGCATTCGTGACGTTCTCGATAAAATCACGATATTTCCTTTGCGTTCCAAACCCCTGCATAAGTATCAACCCATTTCGATACATAACAAGAGTTCACACTGGATTTTCAAATCCTATCAGAAACTCCACATCACTCAACAACAGGTCCTACGGCCAAAGTAAGAGTCCACCATATCATCAGATTTCAACCCCATCGATCTCGCAAAAAAACAGGTCAAAAACCTTCCCAGCAGCAGAATCCACCTACACATTTCAAAAGCCCAGATCAGAAACGCCTCGGATACTAATGCAGTTTATTGAAATTCCTAAATTATCTGACGAGTCCCTTCAGCAAGGACGAAACCGGTCGTAAATTTGCTTGGAATTTCATTTCTTTCTAAGCACACCCACCCTCACACCCACACCCACATCCACACCCACACCCACATCCACACCCACACCCCACACCCACACCCGTCCACACCCACCCACACCCACATCACCCTCACACCCACTCCACCCACACCCCACACCCACACCCCACACCCACATCCCCACCCACCCACACCCCACACCCATACCCCACCCGCAATTTACGATGATTTACCGTTTTTAAACTAGATCCCATAGTAGGTAAGATATAACTAAAATATCAGACTGTAATGTCTGATAACGATATTGTTTTCTTTTTTGTCTTTTTAGTGAGCTGAAGTTTTGCTTGGATTTATTATAAAGTTATATAGGTGATACACGGGATGCTTGTCTCAGTCGTAGTATCTCTCTAATACATCGTGCACAAACTCTTCCTCTAAAAAGTCGACATGACGGATACACCCAAACTGGCAATCGACATCGTGGGCACAAGTAGTGTATTTTACCTCCGAATACTTGAATAACTTCAACCATCGATGGAGTTGTTGATGACGAATTATCCAACAATTCTAATTGCTTTTGAAAATATTCCTCTGATCGTGAAGAATTATCTGTATGTTTATATATGTTACCCAACACATAATAGAGCTCAATAATCAAAGGATGACCGACTGGTAATGATTTCAGTCCTATCTTTAATGCTATTTCATAGTATTCTATAGCTTGCTCTTCTTGATTTATACGATAAAATATGGTGCCCAACTTGTTGTGGCAATACGCGGAATCTGGATGAACGCATGGCAAACAGTTTTCAATAATCTTTAAAGCCTTTTTATAATTATCAATCGCTAATTTATATTCCCGATAATAGAAGTGTACGAGTCCTAAGCTTGAGTAACATGCAGCTACGCGAGGATGTTCTTCTCCATAAATTTTTGTATAAATATCCAAAGCCTTCGTGTATGGATACAAACTTTTCTTCCATCGAGTGCTTATATTCGTATCCCACCAATCTAAAAAACAGCGAGACTGAAAGTTTGAGAATATAGTGTATTCTACAATCAAAAGAAACTACAAAATCATTATCATTCATTCAGTTTAAAAATGTGCAGAGGGCATTATTCAAGCAAGAGTGCATCAAGTTCAAAGAAGTTGTCTTTCTGTGCAAATTATGGAAACATATTGCCTATATTATATTTGTTATAAAATATGAAATGAGAGTTTCTTAAAGATAAAAATTTTCGTTTAAAATCTTATGTTGAGATTCAAGGTTTGCAGAAAATGATTTGAAAATATATTTTTTAGCTCAATAATCTCCTTTCGTTGATAAAAAGTATTTACTCACTTCTCAGATCCGTATAATACCAACTGGCGAGTTTCCAATCAGTAATTTTGCTGTATGAATGGCCTAAACTCATATAAGTTGCTGCTACACTTGGATAATCATCATTGGGAAACACACGAGCGAAAGTTTTTAATGCTTTTGCATACCAATATCGGCTTCTTCTAAAATCACCTTTCTGTCGATATACATCACCAATGTAAAGATAACATTTACCAATATCCACTGCGTCAAGTTCATATTTCAATGTCTTTAACATTCGCGATAAGAATTTATTCGCTAAAGTTAAATATCCCATATTAAGCAGCACAATACTCAGTGAGATGAGAGTCGGCTCTTCACCTTCACTGTTTGATTTGGCACCATCTTGTAGATATTCTTTTTTCATAACAGAAAAAGCATTGTTCAATTGTTCGTCATCATTACCACATAATGACATAGATAGAAAATTTATATGTGGATTATTTGAGTCGCAACGAGCATTGTTCAATCGAAACATTGAGCCAAACATGAAAAGAATTTCTCCTTCATCAAAGTAGCTGAATTCACTGATATCAGCAAATGAACTTGTTCGTTCAGAAAGATTCGGATCAGCATCAATTTCAAAGAAAACATATTCGAAACCAGTAGGAGGAATCGTAATACTGTTAGCTGTGATTCCGAGAAATTCATATGCTATATCAGGGCTACGGCTTGTCGAAAAAAATGAATTGATTGAAATAAACTGGCCGATTGATTCTTTTAAAGAATGCAACTCCGATGTGGACATCAGTTGACTTCGATAAACACGCACATGTTCTAAACATCTGCGAGCATTCAATTGTTCTTGTAGGTCACAGATATAAAAACGAGAGAGAAATAGAAAATCTATATTTTGTAATCGAAAAGATCTATTAAGGAGTTTAAAAAGAAATGAATCTTTAGTGTACCATTCCAAAGCATCATCTTTTCGATAGTTCTTATTGAATTCATCCAAATCGTCTAAGTATTTTTTGTGACTCTTTAACCATTTCGCACACGTCGAGATAAATTTGTCTTTGTCGTTCGATGATGGTGGTATCCGAACTAGAAAGTCGAGCATTAGTTTTGAGAAAAGATATGTTCCATTGATATATGTAGATGAACGTTCTTTACTGAAATCTTTCATGTTGAAAATATCCATCAATAGAGAGTCCTTAGGAGAAAAACGAGCCCAACGTTGTTGAAAAAAATTGATACGATTTCTGAGTTCATTAAGTTTTACAAATTTTACCTATGATAAAAGAAACATGATGAAAAAGAAAATGCAAAAAAATGTAAGTTTTGTCACGCACAAATTGTCTTATAGAAAATCTACTTTCTCAGTTTACAAAAAAAGAGATGTTCAATTTTTTTCGTTATGATGCTGTTTGTCAAACTCCATTATGAAGATTTGGAGAGGAATACAGCATGTACACAATAATAAAATCATAAAAATAATTATTTATTCATAAGTTATTAAAAGAAATTCACTACGACTTTTCTTATAAGCTTGTATATTACTCGTTGCTCTGAATTAGATCCAAAGATTAATAAACGTTTCCATTGTTAGGCCTTAGCTTAACAGTAAATGGAATCTGTGTCTGTGAGCATGGGTATGAGTGCGGATCCTACAGACGATATTTGAATTGTCCATCCAACCTCTTACTTTTTTGAAACAGATTGGGACTTTGAACTTCCTTGCTGATTGCTTGTATATTAAAATACTCAAGAAAAAATTTTCTAACTGTATCTCTTATTCATCTAAAATCTTTAGAATAGAAAAGTGAGATTCAAAACAATATTCCTATAAAAACAATTTATAAGGTTTCGCTTAGATAGAAGGTCTGTTCAAGAATAAGTAATTAAAAATGATTTTTCATCTTGGAAAATGATCAACTGCTTTAACAAATACTGATTTAAATCAAACTCCTTACTTTCGTATAGTGCTTCGCCCACTTTTTGTCTGGTTCTGCTGCATCATAATATACAAATATCACTAGCACTTGACATTGTTGATGCACACAGGGTACGACACATTTAGCTGGTGCCTCACTTACAATTAAAATAATCTTCGTAGTGAATGGTACTCCATGTATAAATGTTTCACAATCTGAGTCGGTTGTGCATCTTTTGTAGTTCTTGATGATTGATCCAATATGATTTTCTTGTAGAATTAAATCAATGTCCTCTGTGGTATCATCGAGTAATACATATATTAGATCTGTTTCATCTGAATCGACGGAGTTGGTGCCTAGACGATAAAAATGAAATGCTTCATAACCGTTGATTTAAGTTACTCACGACAAAATTGCATATTCGAACTTAATTATCACAAGCAGCACAAGAGATGATTTTCACGACTGTAGTTCCGTCCATTTATTGTCAATGAAGATATCTGTAAATAAATGAGATTTGAAGATGTGGTAACGTATTTAATTGTAAATGTGGCTATATAGAAGATCCAAATCAACACAAATATAAGATTTCCTGATACTGTGAAGATGAATTCAATTTCATTCAACAACACTCTTCAGAAAGTGTATGAGAATATTATTGTGAGAAGAATAGCCAAAAACAAAAGAGTATTTATATATCGGTAAATGTCCATATGTGGACATCTTTATTCTGAATTTTTGATATCTTTTTTGGTCTCTACTTTAGTAAGCAAATCCTTGATAATGGGCATCTGGTTGAGTTCAACATCTCTTTTTTTGATTCTGTTAAAGTTGTCATGTAAATCTACATACCGATGAGAGTAACATGATGACTGAAAGAATCAGTAATAAACAGAACTAAATGGAATCAACAAAAAAAATCAGGGAGAGATGGAATTTTATGAGTTACCCATATTCAAAAAAATTTGATTAAAAATCCATTATAATAGCCCTATTACAATCTGATGTAATCAGATTTTTCTTCTTTAACAAACATAATTATTTTGATTTTGATTATTTTAAAAATCTATTATAATCAATTATAAATGATTATCTTCAAAATTACAATAAACGATTATTATAGATTTTTAAAATAATCAAAATCAAAATAATTTTGTCTTGTAAAGCTGAAACATCTGATTACAATCAGATTACAATAGTGCCATTGTAATTGATTTTTAATCCAATTTTTTTTACATGAGTATAACTAAACAAAAGAACAGTAGATATGTCATCAACAGTGGAAAGAGTAGTAAAAATGAAATATTTTTGATCAATTATTCATTTATCCGCTAATGAAAGGTGTTAATCACATTAAAACCTGAACGGAGAATAATAAACCATTTATTTGAGGGGCCTGTTCTATTTATACAATCCAAAAAGGATTTATGAAGAGTAAAAACAGTACAAGAGTTTATAACTTTTCAACGTATAGAAAACCACTGATAACGATGATTAAGAAGCATGGCTTACAAAAAGATAGATTACGATCATAAACATAAAACAAGGTTTATTATTCTTCACTCATTCTTTCTAGTGATGGACACTCGAACGCGAGGATGTCGGTGTGGACACAACATCACAATCTCCATGTGGGATGCTTGAGTCTGTGGTTGTTGTTGCAATTTTCTGTTTTGTTCATAGATCACAACAATGTAAAAGTATTTCTATCAGCACACTCAAATCCAAAACCAATCATATTAACCTTGATAGAAAAATATTTAAGCAAAATTTTGTAAATGATTTTTCTCAAAAAGTATGCGCCAAGTACAATAATTGTTCCATAAATAATTTCAGATATGTTATTTTCAATAAATAATGATAGAGATGATGTCCAATACATGCTCCTTTGCAAAATAGTATCGAAAAATGAAGTTTGACCTACTCAGCACGAACATTACGAGAGTAGTAAACGGTCGTATACATTGTATATTACGATCGTCTACGACCGTAACTCACCGTATTACTTGCCGTCAGAATTACGACCATATAGTGTCGTGTCGTATACAACGATTTATGACGTGTGTACGACTACTGTAAACGATCGTACACAGTCATATACTATGTGGATTGTTATCCTATTTTACGCAAGCTACTACTAGCCCTCCTTCCTTCTCAAGAAGTAGAAAACACTATTATTTGGGTGTCCAATCTGCTTGAGGCCACCAATTGTTTTTCTTATGCAGCTTTGATGATATAAAATCGTATTGTTTCGATATATCATCAAAGCTACATACATAAAAGAATTTAGATCTCAACCAGATTGGACGTCTCATTTAATTGAACTGATATCCTATTATTTCATTTATTCTTTTTATAATAATCTAAAAAATAGAAAAGAAATTTATTTAATCTAGAAGGAAAAAAATTAATCTAAAAAATAAAACAAAGTTTATATAATCTAAAAAACAAAAACAAAAATTCATTTAATCTATAAATAGCAAAATAAAATCTATGTAACTTACAAATAGAAAAACTAGAATTCATCAAATAGTAGATAAATTACGTGATTGAAATATAAGTATCAGATCTAATCGAATGCACGATATACCAATTTAATGCTTGAATTAACAGTTATAGATAAATTGATATAAAGACAATTTCAGACTCATTGAAAACTGAAGATTTAGTGTCATTTAAGTAATTTCTATTGGATAAGGAATATCGTTCTTTGCTTCATGAACGAATTACTCATCAACAATAATGACTATACAGCAGAGATGAGCACAGGACAACATCTCCCATCCGGTCCTGTCCTGTCCTGTGTTAACTCCATCCTGCCGCTCACCAGGACAGGACAGGAATTTTAGTTTCATCCTGCCATGGTCACCGCACGGTGTAATTCTATCCTGCCGCTCGACAGGACAGGACAAAAATTTTAGTATCGTCCTGTCCTACAGGACAGGATACAAGACCGCCGCACCGCCCCGTCCTGTGCTCATCTCTGCTATACAGTATAGTATTGTCTAGGTGTCTCTTTATCTGTATAGTTAAATATTAGATGACATCAAAATAGACTGAATGGAACAAGAAGAATTATCTTTCTACAACTATGACCTAGATACTTTATGTAATACAAAACTCGTATATATTGAATGGGAGATATCTATCTTATGCTAAGAATTAAGTATTCATTAAGAAAAGGATGTAGATACAGATATATACATGCATGCAAAATAAAGAGTATCTTACTTACTTGTATAGATAGTATTACTGAAAAGCAATATTCCTGTTTTACAAAAATACTTGATTGGTCCAAGAAAAACCGTATTGTAGAAATTTAAATACGAAGTATGTGTATCTGATTTCTCTTAATCGAGTGTTAGAAAAAAATTTAAGAAGCAATAAATGTACCTCATACTGATAAAAATTCCAATTTTTTTAGACAAGCAGCATCTATTTTCTCTAGATATGAACAGACAGAATAAAAAGAATCGATCAGTTAACAGCGTTGGATATGAGTGTGCATGTAGATAGATGTGAGTTAATACAATAAGTACACTTCAACTTTTAACTTACTATTTCTCATTTTTTCGTCGTAATAAAATAGTAGAATCTGTTTTCTTTTATTTTTTTACATTCATAATATAGAAAATTTTTATTTTCATTTGTTAATTTTGTGTATAGATGATATAAATAACAGTTCGTTTTCTTCTTTTTGCTTTTTATTAAAGATACGGTAAATCAGGTTTTTTTTTCTATATTAATAATATAGAAACACAAAGTATTTCTCTTACTTGTGTATGACAATAATATATAAAATGCTGACGTCTATCACTTGCTTTTCTACATTACTAATATGATAAATCTTAAATTTTGGTTCTTAACGGGTGGG